CAAGGTGAATTTGGCTCTCAAGAGCTTGAAGAATGAATGAAATAAGACCTCTATTTATAAATTTTAGGCTTGACAATTTTGGTGGTTAGGAATTTGGTTTGGAACCAAAATTAGGCTTGGAAATTGAATTTGGAGGCAAAATCAAGATCAAATGGTGATTAGTGAAGGTGATGGTGGAAATTAATTATGACGAGGTAGGGGAATTAAAATGAAGTGATCTAGAATATTCTCATGATGAAATAAGTGAATTTTGGTGCCAAAATACTGCAGAGTTTGAATTTGGCTCATTTTCACAAAAAACGCACTGGTTAATCGATTAACCATATACTGTTAATCGATTAACATAACAAAAATTGTGAAAATTTGCCTTTTAATGTGTTGACTTGTCAAAGAAGGTATTAAAATAAACACATGAACCTTGGAATCTCTTGAATAATAAGCAACCAAATCTTGGGAAACTCTTTATCAAATTATTTTTAATTATTTGCATATGAACTTTGACTTTTTTTCCAGATGAATTTCATTCGAGCTGAGGAAATGTCGATTGGTGTTCTTGATTCCAAATCCTTCCTGAAAAGGTTATTAAAGGAAAAACAAACATATTTTTGGTATTTTAATTAAGGGTTAGTAAACATAAACATAAACAAATATCAAGCAAACAAGGAAACAAGGGTTCCCAATGATCTCACTAAAAAAAACCTACAGAGGAAGGCAAGAGAATCAAAGCTTGTGATCCTGCTTGTGGTATGAAATGCAAATGACATGTGGGATCTTAGGGGTAAAAATTAGGGTATTATACCGGTAGTGTTAGTATTGTTGCTCTTGAACACTTTTCTTGTAAATCGACTTTTTGCATAATAAGAAAGTATCTTAATTCCATATTGGAAATTAGGCACAGACGTACCTACACGCGAGGACGAAAGTGGGGAACTGCGTGAACAAATCCTTGCACCGATCTCTCTATTATCTTTTTACTCGCTTTATTTTTCATTACGCAATTTGTCAAATAGCATTGATTAATCGATCGAATCGTAAGAATTTTTCTGTGATCTTTCTGTTTTAACTTGGTTTTTGATTAGTTTATAATCACTTTTAATTATAAGCGGTTTTCATATCAACAACAACACAAAGGAAATTATGAAAATTCGTTTGCACACCAAGTGTTTGATAAGTTGTTTAGTTCAATATTTTTTGTTTATTATCATTGGAAATAGCTTTACTAAGTAATTAGTTTAAACGAGTAATAACGTGATACTCGATTAAAGGTTAAATTCCATTAATGTGTTTGTCATTCCATAATTGGCTTTGCATATCCAAGTTCCAATAACTAGGTTCGTGTAGACGAATTTTGTCGATCAACATCAAAATCTTCCGCGTGCACTCTTTTTCAAATAACTGTAAAATCCAAATTTTATTTGGTGATTTTGGCTTCGGTGTCTATTCACCCCCCTCTAGACAAGTCGTCGCCGTCTAACAGTTATGAAGTATATAAGCTTGTTTTGGTTCATGTTTTAATGTCATCTCGAAGATATCTATCATCTTCTCAACCATCTTTTATAGTCTTAATATGTTATCTGATTGAGGTGGTATGGTGTCAATATTATGTTGTAGGGCAGAACAACTACTTTTCGTGTTAGAATTGATGTTGTAGTCTGAGTGTTGATGAAGATGAAAATCGCCTAGGGTTTGTTAAGATGATGGCGATGAAAAGAGGAGTGTTGATAGGTAAATGAAAAGTTAGAGTCTAGTTTTGTGAAGTATTCTTGCAAGAGAATTTTCACATCGGTTATAGGGGATAACCGATGGGATAGATTAATTTAAAATAAAATAACAGAAAAGCACCATATTCTGGGAAATTTATGCAAATTTGATTACCCTTCAGTTGAAAAAAGTAACCGAAGGTAAATAAAAAAAATAAGGATATTTTAAAAAATTAATTTCATAATTCAAAATAAATAAATAAAGGGAAAGGGGAAAGACGCCAAATGAGAAAACGTAATACTTGGTCCCTAAGCTAATTGAAAAATAAATTAAAGACAAAAAATGCAGTAATCAGGATTCGAAACGAGGTCCCTAGTAGATCTATTTCCTCAGTTTTTTTCAAAACCGAGAGTATGTGTTTTATATATTTAAAAAAATATATCATGGTGCTCCCAGAACATATACCTTAGTTATTTGTTGGTCGAGGTGAAAGGTTTTTCATATAATGTATTATTTATAGTTGCGAATATTTAATGTTGTTGTTGTTGTTGAGAGTAAAAGGTTTAATGTATCAATGTAAAGAAATTTTCACCCTAAAATGTTTAGTTGTTGTTGTTTGTTTCTTAGGATCCTCTATTTAGCGGTACTTTTAGAATAAGATTGACATGTTAAATAAGTTAAGAAGTTTCCTAAAATGTAGATGTAAAAACACGTAATTATTAATTTTAGGGTTAAATTTATATCATCTCTTATAATGTTATTGAGATTTGGTTTATCCCCGCTAATATTTTCATGTTTGTCGTCGTGTCTTATCCAGGTGGCTTTTCTTTTAATTTTTTAAAAATCCTAGTGGATTTATTTATTTAAAAATATATATTTTTTAAATATTTTACACAAACATTTTTTATTACGAGAAATAAATTAAAATTCACTAACATTGTTTGGGTAAATTTTATATTTCTTCTTTTGGATAATAAAGTATTGTAAAAAAACATGAAAAATGATGCCAATAGATTTCGAACCTAGGACTAAAGCCTTCTTCTGGTAGAGACACCTTCTCATTAGGAGAACTACTTTAACTTGCCAATATTCATATCTTTTTAATGAAACTACTCAGATAGTTTCTTACAAAAATAAAAATAAAATTCTCAAATGTTTTGAACCATTAAAATTTCAAAAAAATAACAACATTTTGCAACAACCATGGCTCAAACAGAAAATTTGGAAAATCAAAAACTCAAACTAAAAAACAAATGCCTTCCTCAACATCACTAATTCCTTTCGCTTCGAAATGACAAATCAAAGCAACACATAAGCATCAATTATCCTAACATCTAGAAATTGAAGCAACGTAGAAGCATCTTGTATCTCTTAAAGATGCTTCTTTAGTTCAAAACTTTCCTACTAACAATTATAATATTAAGGGTAAGTTCCTGTATTTTTTCCTGCTAACAATGTCAAAGTGTTTTTTTTATTGATAGGTTGAGTCTTTGTGGTTGAATGGTCACAAGAGTGACATTAAGCTTAGTGGGTCAGTTGAGGTTTTGCATTAAATGACTTCTTTGAATGAGGTTTGGTTGGATTCTAATAGATTTAATAGTCTTTTATCTGGTTTTGAAGGGTTGAAAGATTTAGAGGTTTTGAGTTTAAGGCATAATTATCTCAATGGTGTCGTCAAGCTAAAAGATGTTGGCCTAGTGGTAAGCTGCCTTTGCATGTGGAAGTGTATGGTCCTTAGTTCAAAATTCATTGGGACCATTTAAAAAAAATTTTCAAGTTTTTTCAATGTTTTAATATCCAAAACAAATATATACAGTGGCGGAGCCAGAAAAATTATATAGCCTAGACAAAAAATTTTAATACCCAGAAAAATTATATAGCCTGGACAAAAAATTTTAATACCGCAAATTCACATTATAATATATAAATTGCCTAAAATAAAAGAGATGAAAGAGATCGTGAAACATAATCTTACAATAGCATGTTAAATAAAATTACGAGGCAAATGTTCTTTTCGAGACTTCTTTGTTGTGAATGTTCGAATAATATCAACATCATCAAGTGACTTGAATATCTCCCGCTCGGTGTAACATACCATCAAGTCATTGAACCACACATCGTTGATCTAACTACACAATTTAGACTTGATAATCTTCATTGCTAAAAAAGCTCTTTCAACGGATGTTGTCGACACCGGCAATATCAAAGCTAACTCAATAAGTTTGTAAACCAATGGAAATACCAAATGTTTCTCAGTTTGAACCATCTTTATAGTCAAACTTTGAACATCTTCACAAGTGGAGAATGAAACATTTCTTTTCACTTGAAGAACATAACTGTCAAGTTGATCCCTTATTGTTTCACGCTCATCATCAGAAAAGTCTACATGATAAATATCAGCAAGACGAGCAAGCTTATCAACATCAAACTTAGAGAAAGAGTTCTTGGGATCAAGACATGAGAAGTAATCAAGGATAATGTTACTTTCTTCACTAAAGCGGTGATCCATCTCCACACATATTTTGTCAATAGCAACATAAAAAATATATGCACGGTATTGATGAAGATTAATGATAGTTCTTCCTTCCACCATTGAACGGCCCCGAACCGGTATTTCGTCATCCATATTTGGCACCAGAATACCTTTAGCAACACAAAATTCTTGGACATCAGCAAATAAATCATCCCAAACACTATCTCTCATTGTGGCCAACCGAGCTTTGACAACATCAACTAATTCCATGGCAGTCACAATATTAAGATCCTTTCTTTGCAAGACATGTGAAAGCTCGTTTGTAATACCAAACAACTTTAACATTAACTTCAAAATAAAAGCAAATTTAAAGCTCTCTGTTTTTTCTATCAAAGCTGCTGCTTGAGATGGTCCACGTCCATCTTCATCAACCATACTAAGCACATTTAACACGGAGGACCACATTTGATCCAAACGAAGCAATGTAGTATGATGTGAACCCCATCTAGTATCCCCGGGTCTAATGAGACTAGATGATTGGTGCAAGCCTCTTCCTCTAAATATCTCACCACTCTCAAGTTTATTTAAAATATCTTGGTGTTGTGCCTCCGTCAAAACATCCCTCCTCTTACAAGATGCACTTTTTGTGGTCACAATCAAGGAGATGTACTCAAAGAAATCATGAATAGATGAACAACTACTAGCAACAGACACAACAACCAATTGCAAACGGTAAGCATAACAATGGACATAGAAAGCATAAGGGTTTTCATCTAGAATCTTTCTTTGCAAACCATTAAATTCACCTCTCATATTTGAAGCTCCATCATATCCTTGAAATAGATAACGTGTACTTATCAAGAATACCATAAAGAGAATCCTTTAATGACTCAGATGTCGTATCTTTGACATGATGTAGAGCAACAAATCGTTCCACAACATTCCCTTTGTCGTTCACAAACCTAAAACAAATTCGACAAGTTTACTTGGCAGCATAAAGAATAATAGGTAATGAAAATTAGAAATTGGAAAATACAACTACTAACCTCAACATCACCGTCATTTGCTCTTTGACGGATATATCACGTGACTCATCAATAAACACGGAGAATTGTCTATCACCAAGCTCTCCCAAAATCACCTTGGTAACTTCATGTGCACAACACATTGCAAGCTCCTTTTGAATGTCACCGGAAATCATTGTGCAATTTTTTCCACCACGGTCAAAAGCATCTTGCACTTGTTCATTCTTAACTTTTACCCAATCTACCATCTCTCTAAAATTGCCCTTATTTAGAGAAATAGAGGATTCATCATGGCCACGAAAAGACATGCCTTGTGCAATGAGATATCTTGAACAATCTATAGAACAAGTTAAACGAATCTTATACAATTCTTCTGATTCCTTGGTTGCTTTAACAAACTTACTTGCCACACTTTGTCTTTGATTATTGTAATCATCGTAGTGCTTGACACATGAGTTGTGAAAACTATTATGACTACCAACATGATCTTTCAAGCCTTGAGATGCATGCTTCCAATCTTTATATCCGCTTTTAGTGAAGACTTCAAAACCAAAGTGTTCGGCCCTCCCGGGTTTCTTAAAAAGAAAGCAATAAAAACAATAAGTTGCATCCTTGATCTCAGTGTATTCTAACCATGTATAATTATTATACCATGATTTACTAAATGCTCTTTTAACACTTCCAAATGGAGTACGAGGAAAGCTTAGCAATTCTGGTTGCATTGGACCTTTCAATATATATGCCCTCCTCACTTGATCTTGAATATCCGGAGCATACTCATTAATTTGTTTCCTACGACCTGGATCACGCACAATCTCATTTGGGTTAAACTCATTAACCATATTAGGTGGAGGTGGTTCTGGTTCTGGCTCAACCAAAAATCTCCTCATCTCTGGAAAAAAATCCAAACATAATCACTTATAAAGAAAAATTTAATTCATTATCACTTAGTCAATCCAATTCCAACATAATCACTTATAAAAAAAACACTGAATTCATTATCACTTATAATAAGCATAGAAAATCCAATTCCATAAGCACTTATAGTATGCAAATTAGCATAGAAAATCCAATTTCAATTCCATAAGCACTTAGCATAGCAAATCCAATTCCAAAAAATTCAATTCTACAAGCATAATATAATTCCAAACATTGAAAACTTTTTACTGTCATCATATCCATTCAACAAATTCAATTCCATTCAACCATTCAATTGCTAAAATTATAGAAAAAATTGGTTTGGATTCTTCATAAATTGTTTTACAATTTTTACTGTCAGAAACTTAATTGTAAAATTGAATTCCATTCAATTCCATTCAACCATTCAACAATTTTTACTGTCATCAATTCCATTCTACCATTGTAAAATTTTTACTGTCATCAATTCCATTCAACCAATTCAATTGCTAAAATTATAGAAAAAATTGGTTTGGATTCTTCATAAAAAATTTTACAATTTTTTTTGTCATCAACAATCTCACATTTTCACTGTCAACAAATTTTTCTACATCATAAAATTGTAGAAATAAGCATAACAAATTGTAAAATTTTCTACTTAAGCATAGCAAATGACAGAACTCACATTGGCTGATTTCAGAACACAATGAAAGACTGAAAGTGGCGGCAGCCAGGGGCTGTTCTTGGGCCCGGCCAGGCTGGGCATATGCCCAGGCTCTGGGGGCCCAATATATTTTTTCCTGTTGTTTAAAAAAATAAAATAAGTTTTAAAAAAATGGAAAAGAAAAAGAAAAGAAAGTAAGGGTTCACTTCATCGTTCACGCAAAACAGAACTGTCACTATTCCACCAACGTCGTTCAACTCGCCGCAACCGTCACAATAACCGACCCCATCGCCCCTGATTCCGTCAAAATTTTCTACTTAAGAATAGATTTTGGATTTGCGGAGTTGGACGCAGGGGCGGTTCTTGGACGACGTTGGCGGAATAGTGGCGGTGCGGCGAGTTGGACGACGTTAGCAGAATCAGGGGCGGTGGGGCGGTTATTGTGACGGTGCGGCGAGTTGGACGACGTTGGCAGAATAGTGACGGTTCTGTTTTGTGTGAACGGTGAAGTGAACCCTTACTTTCTTTTTCTATTCAATTTTCTTTTTCTTTTCTTTTCTATTTTTTTTAAAACTTACTACTTTATTTTTTTAAACAACACGAAAAAAAATATTGGGCCCCCCAGAGCCTGGGCATGTGCCCAGCCTTGCCGGGACCAAGAACCGCCCCTGAATATATATACACACACACACACACACACACACACACACACACACACACACATATATATATATATATATTACTCCATGCAATGTTAGCGAGTTTTGATTTACATCCCTTCTAGTAAAAAAAATAAAGATAAATTATAAAATTATATTTAAAATATAACTTTAAATTTTTTTCTTTTAAAAAAAAGGCTAAATTACTATTTTAGTCCCTCTATTTTAGTCTATTCACGAATCAATCCCTCTATTTTTATTTTTGAACAGTTTTAATCTCCTATTTAGTTTTGGATTTAAAAAAATGGTTGATGTATCATTTAAAAAAAATAGGTGGCACAATTTGTGTGATATGTCCCCCGTCAACTATCACATCTATTTTATATGTCATTTTCTTTTTATTATATTTATCTATGTAACCTAAATAAATATTAATAAATAATTAAATAAATACAAAAATTTGAAAATAAATGAAGTTTAAATTAATAATAAAAAAATAAAAAATAAACAAATTAATCCTATTTTAATAAAATACAGATTTTAAAATAGAAATGATATGTTCTTTAAAATACTTTATACTGATATCAAATCCAAATTAAAAAATCATTAAACTAAACTATTGAAAAATGAAAATAAATAGAAATGAATAGAAGAAAAAGTCTCTAAAATAAAGAGGAATTAATGAAAATAAAGAGAAAATAACTGAAATTAATTGGAAAAATCACCATGAATTTCTCTATTGTACAATATTTTCACTCAAGATGCACTTCAACACTCATTCATGATTCATACGATTTCTATAATTCACTTTTGCTCTCCGACTCATCAACTCGTTACCTCATCAGATCACTGAACCAAGAAAATTCTAAATCAAGTTCAAAGATCCATCGCATTTAAATTCATTTAAGCATCATCACAATTTAGGTTCCTCAAATTTCCAAATCTCTAGTTTCTACGACTTCTAGTGTGGTTGGATATAGAGCTACTTGATCTGCCGCAATGCATGAAGTCGTCGCTGCATATAAGACAGTCGTTGTTGCTCTAGCAATGATCAATAAACCACATCTCCCTCTTGCAGAAGCCATTGCAAATATTGGAACAAGAATTCAATTGCATCCATACATAGCCAGATATTCTCAGGTTTCTCTGATCAATCCTCATGTTCTGCCTTCAATTTCGCTACCAAAAGCCTTGCCTAGCCTCCCGGTGTTACAAGCAAAACTACATAGTGCAAGGTTTTAACAAAGTATTGAATTAACGTGTATAACACCGCTCGATAGAAAAATTCAAATGCACTCGAAGGAAGACTACAACACCTTGAAAAAAGCCTTCCCAACGCTTCTCATCGCGGAAATGTCGTCTGTAACACCCCAAATTTTAATTGGAATATTTAATTTTATTTATTTAAATAAGAATGTTCGCATTTCGGGTGATTTTTGGTGGTTTTGTGGAGTTATTGAGAATTATGCATTTTTGGGTTATTTATTTAATTAACAGTATATAATATGAATATATTAGTATTATTATTAATTAAAATAAATATAAGTGAAATAAGGGCAAATTGGACAATTGAAGAGGAGATAGTGAAGGTAATATTGGAAAGCCCAATTTTGAGGCTCAAGACTAGGTTTAACAAAAAGGAAATTATGATGGAGTTAGGATTCATTTGTTAGACTGTGAGAAGAATTGAGGTCAGAGCTCCGAGGAGGAAGATTTGAGGCAAAAGCTTCGAAAGATTCCCTGAAAGATTTGAGAGGGCTTTGATCGACAATTAAGGTATGGGGAGTATTACCTTCATGATTTTCCATGTGTAACTTTCAATGTATTTAAGGTCGATTTGAGGTTTAAGGGTTATGAGGATGAATATGAGAATTAGTGATTTTTGGCCTTTGTGTCCTAAACCTATTATTATGAATCTAACAGTGGAATTCATTGGGGAAAAGGGAAAGTTAGGCCTTCGTGGCAAAAACCATGATTTGTTATTTGTCTAACCCTTAAGAGATAGGAATATTAGATAGTGAGTAACTCTGATGCCTGCAGGGTAATTGTAAGGAATTTGTCATTTAGGGCGTGAATATGATACAGGATTGGCCAAATGAACCGAAGGTTTTGTGCCTTTATCGTCGTAAGACCTTAGGGATGATTTAGGGATGTTTTGGGGGCATTGGATAAGTGAATCGTGTGGACTTTTGGGTTGAATTAAGTTCTGGTGCATAGCAGAATTTGCTGTCATCACACTGTTCGCCTAGCAAAGAATGCTTCGCACAACGAACAATGTTGTTCCCATACTCGCCTAACGAAGAATCCTTCGCACAACAAAGAAACTCGCCCCAGACTCTCCTAGCGAACATGCCAGCGAATGTAACAGAGTTTCGCGAATGTTGATTGCGTGCAGGGATGCCTTGATGTTTGATTCTGTGATTTCTGTGATGAATTAGCATGAGTATAACTGGGAATTCCATGTGATTAATATGCAATAATATGATGATTTCCATGAGTATAATTATGAATTCTCTGTGATTAATATGTGATAATATGATGAATTAACATGAGTATGATTGTGAATTCTATGTGACATGATGTATGATGATGATTATTATGATGAGCTATGATGATATGATGTATGATGGTGATTATTATGATGAGCTATGATGATATGATTTTGATGATGATGATTATGATTATTGATGATGCACCTATGATGTTATTATGAGGATGATTTGTGAACTATGCATCATGCATTCCTGTGCATCCAGACTTCGGTTCAGGACCTCGATTACTTTGGCTTCAATCCCATTGTGCGAATGTGAAGTGTTTTGATGTGCTCCGGTTCTCTAGTAGAATCGATTCTATTGATGGGGATCTATGGAGGGTTGATGGCCCAGCGTCCATCGCGCTGTGATGATTGGTACCACATGCATTGAGTCTTGTTGCATTTGCATTTGTGAGTGACTTGGAATAATTTATGATGTTATGGCCTTGGAGGCCTATTGATGAATATGGTGATGTTGAATATGAGTATGACGCCATTTTATATGTTGATTTTCATACATTGATTGTTATGAATCGTTTTACTCACGCTGCCTGTTTGAATGTTACCTCCACGTGGGTAATGTGCAGATAACTAGGTTTAGTCGTGGATGCCGATGAGGACTTTTGGATTTTTGAGTTGTTGGCCTTTTGGTCAACTTATAGGGTCTTGCTCTAATAGTTTAACATTGGGTTGGGGTCTTTGAGTCGAGCTATGTTTTATTGAGTTATTTTGATTACCTTTCCGTATAAGGAAAACTTTGGAATACACCTTGTGAGTTCCGCTGCCTTTGAGCAAATTTTGATATCTTTTGGGGAAACCCGTTTATACATGGAGCATTGACTTATTTTGAGCTTTGAGAAATGTACGCCCTTTGAGGTGATTTATTGTTGAGTTTAACATTTTACTCTGATGATTTGAATAAATGTGCCTTTTAATTGTGGGGTAGAAAAGGGTGTTACGTCGTCCAAGGGGTCACATCAAAGGGGATCCATTATGTTGTCCCGGATCCTTTCTAGGAAATAAAGAAGAAACTCTTCACTCAATAGATAAATATAGGAGCAAGAAGCATCAGACTCCTATCTAGAGCCCCAAGGAGACCGAGGTAGACACACTCTTCGCTGGCTCAAGCAGAGAGTC